ATAAACCCTGCATATTTAGGCTGAAATCTCTCAACCAGAAAAACTCTACTTCACCTTGTGATGTCATGTGGTAATATGGGGAGTGCTCCACTGTGTTTTTAAACATCATACACCTTCACAAGAATCATTTGGATAATATCAGCCCTGGAATTGGCTTTCTCTACAGAACAAAAGGCAAAAGGTAGCTGTTGGAATGGAGTATTTTGAGCTTTGGAGATGGACTGACTAATAGGATTACTCAAACATGTGTGAATGAAACAAAACAAAACTCCAAAACTCCAAGTAAGTTTTTTAAGGAGTTAAGGAGTCAGTTTACCCTAAAATACTCTTTTTACTTCCACCACAGTAAAACAACAATAACAATTTTGGACACCTTGGAACAAAAAGAAGAAATTAAGAAAAACATATTTCTGTCTTATCATAAGCCACTGTTTTAACTGAAGCATTTCCACTAGCCATTAAAATGAATGTAATTATTTTTCAGTAATCAAGCATATATAAAAGATGCCATATGATAGAAACCACCATTAAGCTTTCCAAATCTCTGAGCGCCATTCAAAATGCCTGTTTTTCTAAGGGTTCTCTTAAAATGTGTTTTATGTTTTAGATGTAGCATTTGTAGAGCCCACTTCAAACACATGCAGCAAAGCGAGCTGCTGTGGGGGACAATACTCAGCAGGAGTCTACAGCAACAGAGACAAAATCACAGACATACGACCGCATTCACCCAGCACATGTGGTTTGTGTGGTCAGACTGATCTCAACATGGTACTCGCTTGTTTTATTCCTTTAAGCTCCCCTGAAGATTGTTACATAGTCAAAAAGGCATTGTGTGGTGTATACTTAACTTTGACAAATAGTTCCTTGTCTTGTACACTGGCCAAGGGGATGGTCGTATTATGTGCCAGCCTCAGCATTGTGAGATTGGATCCTTGCTGAATGTCCTCCCCCTCTCCATTCTTTTTTCATGCTATACTGTCCTGCCAAATAAAGTACAGATAAATATAACATAATGTAATAAGAGTTATAATGCAATAAACTGTGGCCCAGTAATGCAAAAGAACATAACATCTAGTCTCGGTTCTGCTTCCAAAAGTTACAGTGTAAATGTCTTACAGAAGTCCATCTATTACTTTCTGGTCCTGTTTTTACCTCCCAGTCACAAACAAATTTGAGTGCTGCTAGCAGAGGCAATCTTCCTCTTCGGCAAATATATGGGACATCATGCCCAATTAAATCTGTTTTCTAAAAGCCTTTTCTAAATGGTCTGTTGTGACTGTTTTTCAATATGAGTTGTGGGAATGCTTCTACCAGATGGTACCAAAATAGCCCCCCGAAAATGACTTGCTCTTAAATGGCTAATATACCCAGTCAAAACAACAAACATGAACAAAGATTAGATTAGATTAATTGAGGATTAACTTGGGAGGAAACTTGGGTGGAAAGAACATTACATATCCTGAAATGCACAAGTCGCAATGGTGGCACGGTGATTGAGTGGCTATTTCTTTCGCCCCACAGCAAGAAGGTTTTGGGTTCTGTTCCTGGGTATTTCTGAGTTTGCATGTTTGTCCCTCTAAGGTAGTCCTGATCAAACCTAGTTCAAGATCTGGAGCTGGGTCCCTAGTGGCCTTGAAAGATAGGTCAAATGCACAGTACACATCTATATGGGGATGACAAAGAGAAATCTAACATCAGAAACAACAGAATATATAACAACAAGATACATGGTAAACATTAAGACACATCAGACACACAGGTCATAACATAATTATTTATAATGAGAAGATTGTTGCTTAAGAGTAGTGTAATTTTGTCCCCATGGTGCGAGACAGTTCCATATGCTGCAGGATGTATTTATATAGACCTGCAGAAGAGTCCGGAGTGTAACTGAGGCTCTGAGACAAAACCCTTTCATGACACCTGCTGGCCTCCCTATTCCTCCTGCTCCATCCATCAGCAGCACAGAAGCACCACACACACACACACACACACACACGCACACACACACACACACACACTCGCACACATACACACTACATTTGTCACTAGCTATCACGAGTGGTTACATTCTCATTACATGCCTGCTGACCCCTCTGAAGACACAAATCAACTCCCCTGGGTGTTGCAGAAAATGTATAAAACTGTGCCTTCCAAGTGAGAGCAAAGAAAGGGAGAACACAGTGCATAAATTCTTCTCTTTGTGTTTTATGTTGTCATGCTCAACATCAAAACGACAAAGGGAGTTCACATACGATTTTTATTCTTGGGTAGTAAAATAATCATTTGCTATGGACAAGTATCCTGAGAAACCTTTAAAATTCTTTGCCAGTCTCACAGATAAATGGAGGGAGATGCACCACACTGAAAAAATTGTCCAAGAGGGGTTGTTCAAATTGCAAAAACAAATTTGACAACAATAACATGATTTTTTTACATTTCTCTGTCCAGCATGTTTAAATCTTACAAAGGTCGCTTGATTGTGGCCGATGTTAGATCTGCATGTTTTAATCAGGTTGTGGAAACATGACTTTATTATAATTTCTGGTGAGGCTCCTCCCTCTGGAATTCTCCTCCCCAAAACCTTTGGAGGGAAAATTCAAATGTAGCAGGACACAGGACAGTTCCAGGAGCAGAAGACACACAGTGTGGAGCAGGAGGATTATGAGAGCTGATCTGGAGGTAAGACTTTTTAAAAATTTTATATGTTTCTCCAGCCTAGAATGTCGTCATTGTTAAAACATGTTTGTGGTGTTTTATTTGAAATTAGAGTTAATGTAAGGACTCCTTGAAACAAATTATATTTGACTGTCCATCTACAAGAGTGTGACAGTTGTACTAAGATTTGAATGTGTTTGTTCCAGAGTCATGTACAGTCATGTACAGTGATTTCCAGAGCTCTGCTGGAGCTGTGGGGAAGTTCATGAATGTTACAGCTGATGTTTCAGGAAAAAGGCAGATGTTTGAGAACCAACAAAACACAGAGCATAGATGAACAAAGTAAATAACTCAACTAAAATTATTTTAAACAAATTTTTCATAATGAACTTCCTATTGAAACAGTTTTCGTGTTTCTACAGGGTGATGTGGCACTAGGAGGACTTTATACCAGATGCCCTACCTCTTACTGTGTTTAGAGGAAGAAAAGCAGCACACGGTGAGTTTTGTTTCTGCAGATACAGTTCTAATGTTCTTGTGATTCTGTTCTGGTCCATTATTGTAGTAATAAGTACTTTAAATGTATTTAAACATGTACAACAAAGTAGATCATCATAATGTGATCATCATGTGTTATTCCTGTGTCCACAGGCAGAGACCAGAGCGTCTTCACTGGAATAAATCTTCACTCTGTCCAGCTCCAAACTGTGTCTCTGTACTTGTGCTCTTGTGTGTTTGATTCTGTTTAAGACAATACAGAACTGTGGAAAACTAAAAACTGTTTTTGTATTATTTTACAGTATTAGATCAATTAAATTATATTATACATACTTATACTTTTCATGATAAGGTAACATCAGATAAATATGCATATTAAGCATGATTTGATCAAATTTCATCAACATGAAAAAGTGACGTTCATGTTCTGAGAAAAATATGTGTAGAGAGGATCAAAATAAGTTTCAAAGCCTAAACATAATTTTATTGCATGCAACCGCTTTCCATAACTTTTTTACGCAAATCCAGCAACCTTTTATTTTTCAGTGCAGGAAGGGCATCTGATGTAAATCAATGCACACAGTTGCTATAATGTGGAGACCCCACAAGAATAAACATTATCTTTATATATATATTTTTTTAACAAATTTTATTTTTGAAGCACTACATGTTCCTTAATCACTTTATCGCAGTCATCCTTTTTATTGAGTCAGATTAGCTATATCAGTTATATAATTATCATAAGCCAAATGAAACAGGCTAATGCCATTAAACTGGATAATTATCAAATAAAACTAAATGGCAAATGAAATGAATGTTTATATTCTTTGCATAACTGCATTACTGCATTCCTTCATCAAACGATTACAGTATGGACACTGTCTGGTGATGGGTTATTATTTACTTATTATGTAACTTTTCCTCTGGAGGATGACCTGCTTGTCATAAAGCTATAATAACAGAATTTTCCCCTGTATGGCGTTGAACTTACCTATCTCAGTTGAGAAGAACAGATAACGCCATCACCACCACCAGGTCAAGTTACAGGTCAAGTCTGAGGGGAGTCGACCCTGGTCACAGCATGAGTGTTTTCCAAGTTATTTTTCAGCAATAAAATATCTGTAATGGAAGATAGATATATCTAAACGTACTAACATATTGTGGAACATTCCAGGCAAACCAGTAACACTTTCCACCAGAAAGGTTACATAGTGTACCTTTAAATTCCTGCTGTTTGTGCTCTCCTTTTGCTTTCAGACAATACACGTCCAGGCATGGAACTATTAAAAGTAGAGTGCAATGCTGTCGCTGATGCTGTTGTTACGAACCGCCACCAGTTGTCTATAGTGCGCCAATTAAAAGAAGCGAGGCCCATGAATGGCAAATAGTGACTGAAGCTTTGTTTAATTAGTCACCTCGACAACCGCGTGAAGCTTTTGTCAACGCCTTTGTGTGTGTTCTGTCCTCATCGGACTCTTGACTGATGACACGGCCACACACACGCACATTGGTCAGCTCTATGTGTGTGGAGGATTCAATTTATTTTCTAGTGTGAACTCTGTTATTCGCCAAGGTTTTCATTCTTTGTAGACGCTGGTTGGCCGCTTGGTCACTTCCCCTATTCCGCGCAGAGCCGCTCAGTAGAGAGAAGCAGCGCGCACAGTGCACTTCTCCTCACATTCAGGCATCCCTCTGTCAGTGCGTAACGGGATTCAGAGCGCACCACAATGGATTTACCCGCCTAGCATTGCATAGAACTTTTCTGCTCGCCTTGGACTAAAACTTGAAGTTAAACAATCAACAACCCAACAAATTGTACCCCGATTTACAGCCTTTTAGACACAATGTTTGGGTCATCTTTAAACTCAGGCGCAGTATTGTTTCTTTGTTTGTTCTCATCTGCGACGTGTGATTTGCTCGCGTTTACCGAGGAGCCCTTTGAGAGAACCGGGAAAACGGACGGCTACTGTAGTCGGATACTCCGCGCTCAGAGCAATAAGAAAGAAGGCAGTAACGAGTTTCGCCTCCGCGTTGAGGGAGACCCGGAGAGTTACCAGCCGGGCAGCACTTACAGAGGTAGGCTTACAAAAAGTATTTGAGCAAGTGATTAGAAAGTGTGAAGGTCTACCACAGAAACCTCCCTGATATGTTATTTACCCCATATTGCCATGTTGCAGCAACATTGGGCTATACATCCATCATCGTTTCTTATTCTAAGTGTGCTTATGATCAAAATTTAAAACTGCACAGTCCCTCAGCAAACTTCTTGATACCATATGCCATTCTCTTTCATCGTTCAAATAGACTTTAGCAGACGCCAGTGCCTGTTTTATGATACAAAGTTTCAGAAGTCGATGTCTCTTTGTGGGCATCAAAGAGGCACATGCTGTTAGTTATTTTCTTCTTGAATGAATTCCCATAGATTGTACATAACAGCAGTAAAATTGTATAGACCGAGGTGGTTGCATATGAAAACAAAAAAAACAAAAACATCATTCACATATAGGTGCAGTGACTATGCTTAGTCTCTGAACTCATTACCAAGTGAACTGTTACAACATTATGAGAGCATGGCTTGTGCATGACCCCAATTCGTAAGACTGAATTTAAATGCACATTCTCTGACTGTCTCTTCTTGTCTTTCTCCAGTGACTTTATCTGCGACCAGCTCCTCATACTTTAGAGGATTCAGTCTCATCGCTCTGAGAGAGGGTGCTGAGGGAGACAAGGATGATGACTATATTGGGAATTTCCAGGTAAGACACTATAAACTTTACAGTTGCATAACATAATAAGGATTAGTTTTGTGCATATATTGCAAAGATTATATATATATATATATATATATATATACTCCCAGATGACATTTTTCATTATATTCGCACTTGACTACAGAATCTCTTGAGCTGAATGTCCCTGTAGTTATAACATATGATGTTATCAGTCTAAGTGTCACAGCCTTCATGTAAAGTATGAAGTAGTCAATCATGTCTCTATAGGCTGAGGAAGAAGAGCACCCTACAGGAGCGCCTCTGTGCTTTTGGTTTAGCCGAGGTGATAACTGGCACATTATACAGACAGGTTCCATCGGAGCAGAAGTAGGGAAAATATGAGTGGGTGTATAGAATTGTTAGAATAAAAAACTGAGGCTGTAATGTGCACAGTGCTGCAGAATAAATGTGATTGTTAAGAAATTCACTAAAGCTTGTTAGGGGAAGGAATATATTTTTATATTTGAGCAAACCTGAAAAGTAAACTTGTGATCAACAAGGTAACACATACACATACATATGTTGTATAGCTTACACTTATTTCTGAGTGAGTCTTTAGAGTGCAAATTCAAAAGTGCTGAAATCATAATGAGAACATCCTGTTTATTTTTTATAAACAATTTTGTTTCACATTTTCAATTACATTTTTATATACACTGTGTATGAGTGTGAGAGTAAATGAGTGAGTAGTGCTTGGATGTTAAAGAGCTTTGAGTGTGCAACAGTAGTAGAAAATACATACAAACCATTGGTTAATTCACATCAAATCTTAATATAAAAATCTTACTTAACTTTAAAGCTTAAGCATTGCAAAAGAGGGCAGATTTTCTCTTATCTTCAACATAATTGTTATTGGATTTGTTTTGTTAACCACCTGTTTTATATACATGGTCATTGTTCTGTATCACAGATTCAGACAGACTTCTTAGACTAACCCATACTTACCTCTAGATTGGAGAAGAGCTCTGAGCAAGCTGGCCTTCCGGCTCTGAAAGAAAAAGAAGAGAAAAAAGTCTTCGCTTTATTTAGTACGGGGCTCATTTGAAATCTGGTGGTGTGCCCCATGTCAGACGACTGTGGACAGCTTCTGACTTGATGAAAAGCACTTTTATTGAGCTCACTGGGGAGGTCAGCCGCCACTCTGTGTGTTTGTGCTCAGTGCTCTGCTGCCGGATAATGAGACATTACTTCTCAGCGGGGGAAATGACAGGACAAAAGAGAACAAACTGTAATGTTTCCAGGTCAGGGAAGAAATTAGTGCAGCTCTACATGTGGCCTGTTGTCACAATCTATTTTCACCAATATCTGTAAGTGACATCTCTAAAACAGCTTTAGTATGCATGGTTTTGTTGTATTACTTGCAGCTTAAAAAAGTTTTTAAAAAGTCAAATCACACATATTTGTTGCGTAATTTTTTTTTACAGACTAGGGCATAGGTTGTTTTTGCTGGAAATTGGTTTATTTACCAGTTGTGGTTGAATACATTCCAATGAGCCCTTGTTGGCTTTACCATGTGTTGTAGTCCAGACAGACAAGCCCGGGATGGTTGTGAGAAACCATGGGAACCAGAGTGGGTGGTATAATCTGTATGGGGTGGACACAGACAAACATCTCCCTGGTTTCTATTCACAGCTTCCACTTTTGGGGAAAACTCATTCATTACATGGTATGACAAAGGACATTCTCCGCTGACAGCTTTATGGACGGAGAAAGCTCTTGTCTTGACTGGCCTGATGTCACTTCCTATTAAACTGATCTTACTGTCCACATACAAGCTATAGCCTTCTCCAACACAGTTTGAATCAATGAAGTGCTGAGTCTCTCAAGTGTGCATTTGAGTTAGAAAGGGCAGCATGCTTTTGACATTTTGGGTTTTACCTGAAATGCTCTGAAGACATTCCACTAAAATGTTAAGTACAGTACAGGGATGGAGAGTGACTTTTTAATAGTAGTTGCATAAAAGATCTTGCCTTTGGAGTTAAGTTTTCTTTGGAATGGGTGGATCTATAATTTATATTTAAATATTATCAATGCCTCTGCCTTTTTTGATAAAGAGACATTTTTGCTTATTTGTTTAACTCAGAAACACTAATGATTATCACACAAATAAGTTTGTGATTTTGAAAGAGAGCACAAGAGTGCAGTATCCCACTATGAGTTTAGGCTTGCTCTGATTGATATGTGCCATAAAAACAAATGCTGATAGTGCCATGACTCTCAGTGTGGTGATCAGAGAGGACATAATGTGGAGTGATACTATGCCTAATCGCACCCACGAGTCTCAGAGTGACGTCTGTCACCTGGGAGAGTTTCTGTAATATTTTCATTATAATAACTCGCTGTGTTTGTTTGTACATTGCAGATCATTGATGAAGAGGAGACACAGTTTATGACCAACTGCCCTCCTGCTGTTACAGAAAGCACTCCTCGCAGGCGCACCAGTATACAGGTCTTTTGGACGGCGCCCCCTAGTGGCTCTGGATGTGTGCTTCTCAAGTATGTACTATGTACTGTAGTTGGATTATATTACATTTGACAACTAATAAGAAACCTACTCACTATACAAGTAATAATAAAGTTTTACACTTGTAATGGGAATTACAGGCTTGACAAATTCTCTCACCATTCAGTGGTGGTAAGATACTGTATTGTATCCTATTATAGCCACAGCAGTCAGAATCAAGGCTGTCAATGTGCACTATCAGCCCCTCCAGCCACCAACACTCATGCACACAGCACATTCATACTAGGCAGTGTGTCTTACCTAAGGACAGAATGACAAGAGAATGAGTTTTATCCGAGTGGGAACCAATCCCCCAAACTTCGGATTAGGGGACCACTGCTCCACTGAGCCCACTAGTACCACTGTGACCAACTAGTATTTCAACAACAATACATTACATCAGTACATTGCACTGTATTGAGAAAGACACTAGAAATACAAATATAAAACCCAAACTATAATAACTTGCTTAAACATTACTTACACTGGACGGATCATGTTTAATTTAGTCCCAAATTAAATATGAACATTTAATCATGTATAGTATAGTCCAACATCTCAGTGGGAGTGAAAGCCTGACTTGCAGAAGATATTAATTCCATCCTTAAAGTAACTCTGTTTTATCACATGTGTCGCCGCCAGCTAGGCAGGAATTCTCAATTTTCATTTCCACTTGGTTTCATAAACTATTCATTCCTTTTAATAAGTGCAGAACAGATCGACACCAATCAATTCTGCTGGAGAGTCCTTGGAGCTTACATGGACATGCTGCAAAGACATCAAGGCCTGATTGGAAGTGTATGTAAATAATGACACAGAGTGGGTAGATACTTAACACTCATTATCATAAAGAAGATCATGTGGTGTTATGCATATATTAACCTCTTATTGAATAGACCGTTATGACTGCATGTGCAAAGAGCCACAACTACCCATCTCTTCTTATTAATACCATATAATAGTAACTTTAAACAAAGTGACAAAATTGAGGCTAAGAAAGTAAAACTATAAAACCTAATCTAAAATTAAATAAAAACTGTAACACAAATTAAACTCAGGATTAGAAAACTGAGACTTGATTATAATGACATGAAGCTAAAATGACCTCATATTGTGATAAAAGACCTGTGAAAATAAAATAATCAAGAAGCAATTTAAAAACAGCGAGGGACTAAGCCTGTCTCGTCTCTAAAGGAAACTGGTCCCACAGCTTTGGGGCAGTAACAGAAAACACACGATCCCCAGGATTTTTCTGGGAACAACAAGCCGCAGTGGATCTATTGACCTGAGAGCCCGAAGGGGGTGTAAAGGTGGAGAGGTAAAAAACATCCAAACAGTGACATGTGTTACATTTGCAAGTTCCACATAAAAAATGAATTGGGAAAGTGTTACCCGAATCATGCAAAAATAAAGTGTCTTGCAATTGTCCAAATGAGGGAGCACAGAGTCACCAATGAGTTTCACAAAAGTGTTTTGGCACAAATGATTTTACCTCATGTTGTCATGAAAGTAGATATTTACACAAAAGAAAAGGCTTGATACTTATTCTGAAACCACAATAAAAACACATTTATTTATAATATAGTATCATTTTCAAGATGAAATAATAGTAGTTAACACATGATAATAATAGACCACATGATATAAAAATATTAATTAAGACCATTATTTAAGAAAATCGAACTTCTTAAAATAAGTATCTAGTTCTGATACTATAGTTTTAAAATTGGTATCTGCTTATAAAAAGAGAAAAGACTCAAGAATGGATGGATCCTTTTGGTACCCCAGTCGCCATGGGTGCTGAAGAAGTTTTCAAACACAATTAAGTCTTTTAATCAAGTAAGATCAAATTCATTGCACGGGTTGGCCACATATTCCCATTGCAGCCCTCATCCAACTTCACTCAAACTGAGTGAAACAACCATGTAAAAGCAGTCCAAAAGACACAAGCTCCCTGTTTGTGTGGTAACTATAGTTCAGATGTACCTCTCCTCTGAGTTAACCCTGCAAACTGCAAAAAGCTGTTCTTTTATTGAGTCATTTTTCATCAAATGTATTGTTTGAACATTTTCTAAAAAAGTGATTACCAGTGACAGAGCGAGTAAAGGCAGACCATATGAAACAGCATTGAATTCAAAGAATATATTGGGGAGAAGGGGTTTCTACAGTTATGTGTGAAATAGGACAAAGCAGGGGAGTCCAGGACAGGTTTTGAAAACAAAAAATGCACCACCACATTTTCAAATATCAGAGATGACAATGGTGGACAATCTACCCTCTCTTTAACCTGCACATTATAGATGTATCCTCCATCCTTTTATCATCTGCCTTTGTTAAAGCACTTCTCACTGTCTAGATTACACTGTGATCAGATAGAAGCAACAACAGAAAAATAAATAAATAAATCATTGATTATTGTCCCTGCTTTGATGAGGCTACAAAGGGTTGTTTTTACTGAATCTTGCCCATCCAGTAAATAACATGCTTCTGTACAATCTTTTGACCTTGTAATTTGGAGTGTGTGGTCTGTCTGACATGTGACTGACTGCTTTGCCTTGGACATTTCTCTCCAGTGTGGTTTGCTGCAGTGTAATTGATGGGCAGTTGCTGTCTATTTTTTAGGACAGACAGAGACAGAACTGGGTGCTTTGGTTGGTACTGGTTACACTCTGATGACATTATTCTACTACGTAATCCATTTATTTTTGGTCTCATTTTCAGTTGGCTCCAAAATTAAATATTCAGCCAACTACTACAAAAAAGGTACTTGGGAACAATTACTGTGCTCTTTGTATGGCCTGCCCTGAATCATTCCATTCACACTATAGTAAGTGAATGGAATGGTTCAGTTCAGGTCACGGACTATAGTATATAGTCTTTTGTTCATCTCGACTTTAACAGTCTGATCATAAATTCATCAAGTATTGTGTAGATGCAATGAGAGAGTTCAATACTAGTGTAATAGTGTAATTTAGTCTGTTTGTATTGATCCAAAGAGATGTCTAGTGTTTATGAATATGCTTTTATGTGTCTCTGAATGGACAGCACAAAATGAATAGTGACTTTACCAAGACAGATTTGTAATATTGCTCTATATAGATGTACAATGTTTGGATGTTAATATGAAAAGATAGATAGATTTGTTATGTCATGCAAATTATTGTACAATTTTGTTTCATTGTCCAAAAATAATATGCATCAAGTGCATGTTTATCTCATTCAGATATTCAGAGACTAACTGCAGAAACTAGAGAAACAAGAAAATATAATCAAGTACAACCCTTTGTCATCTTTCACTCTGCAATTTTAGATTCACAGAAGAGTCACTATAGTTCATTTTGTTTTCATTTTGAAACCAATAACAAGCATGTTCTTTCTTTTGTAGAGCCAGCATTGTGCAGAAGAGAATCATTTATTTCCAAGATGAGGGGCCTCTTACAAAGAGAATGTGTGAGAAAGGTAGGCTTCATTAAAATATTATTTTATAAAATGCAGACATACTTTTGATGATTTTTCATACTCAAAGACACTTCACAGAGTCTACTGTTTAATGTGGCCACAGCTGCCCTGGGATAAACTGAAGTGAGGCTACTAATCAGTACGATCAGCCCCTCAGACCACAGGCAACCATATCACATTCATAGACAAGTGGGTGAAGGGTTTTGCTCAGGGACACAGTGATAATCTGGACTGGTTAGAGTGAAATTCATCCTGCAACCTTTGGGTTTTTGTGCCCTAATCACTGAGCCACTACTTTTCTTCAACACTAAAGCATGAAGCACAATATAGTACACAAGTACAGCGCATCATCACAGTTGTAAACAGAAGCTATACTCTGTTGATTAATTGCTTTGTTCAAATTGTTATTATGACCTAAATATCATTTTATTATAATGTTATTATTATTCCATAGAGCCATTGTATGGAGAAGTGACAGATAAGCCTCTACTGGACTGTTGTGCCTGTGGAACAGCCAAATACAGGGTCACCTTCTACGGAAACTGGTCAGAGAAGATTCATCCCAAAGACTATCCACGTAAGACAAACTTGTCTTCTGTTGCCAGAAAGCTTGGCAAGATTATTATACAGTTCTATATCTTTTTGGCTTTTGTTTGGTTTGACCAATCAAGCCAAGTTATAGAAGTAGTGTTACAGTTAAGTTTGAATCTGATCTTTGTTGCAAACTATTGCTCTTAATTATGTAGAACATTGTCAAAATATGAATAGGTACCACACAAATGGATGGTTTATCCCAATATTTTCTTTTCGTTTCTGCCTACTTTATGTGTATAACCTTGAGCCTCACTATCAGGTTGCGGACTTGCGGATTACACCAGCTCTCTTGCCTAAATCAGGCTTTTGCCAGTCAGATCAATATACTGATTAGATGAAGTAAGATAAACCCTGGGATCGAAGGCAGCCTTAATTTACTGTCTCACTCAGGTACTTGATATGGAACTCACTCCTTCACACAAATAGATCTGCTTGGAAAGAATACAGGTCAAGCTGCAATGTTTCTGTTCAAGTTTGTGGACACTCGTGGATTTCTCCTTGCACAAAGTCATATCCTATGAGCCCATCTCTCGGAAAACTCTATCCATCCAATTGAAAAACAATGTAAATAGTGTCTGGGAGTTTTTTTTCAACAAATAATCCCTAACCTCTGACCATTGTGGTTACACACATTCTCTGCTCTGAAAATTCTGTGTAAAACAGGTCAACCAAACCAGTGATAACCTTGACAGTTCTATTTTTCTTTTCCCAATTGTCCCTTTTGTGAGTCACGCAGTGATGCACAACTGCTCCAGCCATGGCAACCTGCTTGGAGCCTGAATTATCATGAGGCAATGGTTGTCAGGTTTAGTGGACAAGCAATTTTCATTTTTTATTTTTTTCTATTTTAAGATGATACAACATGCATAAGTCACAAATTCACTCATTAAAGGTCATATATTGGACAAAATTTATTCTTGTGAGCTTTGAGTGTTGTTACCTCCTCAAAAACATACCTGCAGTTGTATTTTGTTTCATTCACATTCAAAACTCTAAATGCTCTGTTCCACTTTATGATGGAAGTCATAAGATACCTTTTGCCTTTTTATTTAGTAGAGCTTTGCAAATCCAGGACTGAAATCACCCAAATGATTCTAAAATGACATAATAAAGGGGAGTGTTTTCAGTTTGTCATACATAGATCAGAAAACAGAGTAATAATGAAGTATTAATTTAAGTATTAATATTTAGATTTTATTGTTTTTGCACATAATATAAATACATCAACTACCCTGTAAAATGTGAAACACAGCATTCACATAATGACATTTGCCTCTCAACCCCTTTTTAGATGCAGTACCACATTTACTTTGTATGCAGATTTTGCATGCAGTAGTCGTCATTCTGTTCTTACTTTCTAGGTCGAGCCAACCATTGGTCTGCCCTAATTGGAGCATCCCACTCTAAAAACTACGTACTTTGGGAATACGGAGGCGTGGCCAGTGATGGGGTTAAACAGGTCGCAGAGCTGGGGTCACCGGTCAAGATGGAGGAGGAGATCAGGCAGAAGGTAAGTGGGCTAAGGTTCGGCTTGTGTTTGGAGTTGTGGAAACTTTCTTTGGACTTTACTTTTAATTCAGTGGAGGAAGAGAAGTTACATAACTGCGGCTGACACGTTGGATGGTGCACCTGAGCTGTAGTGGAATTGTTTTGACACTGTAGTCTACAATGATTAGTGTTTTCAAACATCTAGGTTATTCTTAGTCCACATGCCAGTCCACATGCAGGTGTGTCAAAGCTGCTTAAGATTTTAATTTCTTTAGACTATTTTCCAAAAATGCTTCAGTTGACTGATGTGTAGTAGTAGTATACAGACTAAACAGATTGACATAGGTATAATGCAGATATATATTTATATTATATTATGTATATTATCTCTGCAGTTTACCTATGTCCTCTGCAGTTTACCTATGTCCATCCAGTCTGTAAAGTATTTTAACATTAGAATCAGTCCATTCTCGATCATCCTCTTGTCACAGAAAATGGGTGCTTGCATTAGAATGGGCATCTGGATAAAAGTTTTGCTTTCTTGCTTTTATCTTACATCATTTTTTCCTGCTTTTCCTCTCCTCTTCTCAGTCCTAAAATAAGCAGCCGTGGCAGAGCAGATGGTACCAGAGAGTGTTTATTGAGACTAATATTGAAGACCTGAAGTCACAGTGGATAATGAGAGCCTAGTGTGAACAATGGGGACTGTGTGTGTGTGTTTGAGTTGTGGTGTGCTGTTGTGTGTGCTTGTGTGTGTGCTGCCTCTACTCCCTCCACCTCTGCTCCTATTCTCATCTGTGCTGGGATCATCGCTCTGTTTTTCCTTAGCTGCGGAATGAGACTCACTTCAAAGTAGAAGTGATCTTAAAGGTGCATCTGTGAAAAGTACATGTATGTTTTTTGTTTTGTTTTTTTTTCTATGTGAGTGTGGTGTTCAGAAACACGAACATTTTGCCACGTCAGTTAACTAGCCTTCTGGTGAAACATTTTCACCTGTAGGGACCAATGCCTCAGAATACAGTGTAAAGCTGAATTTATTACATATGGAGATGATTATAGCAGATAAAGTCATATTTGAAGGATATTTCGGGGCTTCTGAGAAGGCTGTTGGCTGGAAGGACTGAGAAGTAGAATTAAAGGAGAGACATTTAAACGAGAAGGCAGAGGAAGGGGGCTGCTGGTAGAACTTGAGTAGGGACAGGAAGAGGTGTACATGAGGTGTGATCCTGCTACCAGTCTTAAGATAACCATAGAGTATACTGGCATAGACAGTAGTCTCATTATCTTTCTTCATGAAAAGTTTTACATTTTCCCCATTCTACTGTAGCAGCAAGTCAAAAAGGGCTTCATTTGATCACATCGTATGTTGAATCTGGTATATTTTATTAGGTACATGCTGTACTGTGTATTAGCTGTTTTGGCAGTTGTGGCTGTTGCTTTCCATTCCTCTGGAACCATGCTCGCCACATCCTTGTCATACCCGGAATTTTAATTACAGCATTTTGGCCATTGACAGTGTTCTGTTTTTTAAACCATTCTGTGTTACCATATCTTGTGAATGTAAGACAATGAAGATGTATTAACCATCTCTATCAACTATCAAAACAATCATGATCTTCATATGTTTTTATTTATTTATTGACTTTTCTTGTACATGTATTACATAGTATATTGTGCATTTACCTTTACCATAGAAGTTATGTTGAGTTTTCCATTATTCAAACCTCACAGTGCTTTTGGCAGCTGAAGGCAGTACAAAAGTACATGCCATTCTGTGCAAAAGCTGTGTGCAATTTTCAAACATCTCAGTCGCCCTTGAGGAAGCAAGGTTGTTATTCCAGATTGTAGCAGCGGTAAATGCTGACCCAACATGAAGCTGATTGGCTTTTGTGTCAGGTGGGGCATCTGGGGCGGCAACTAGTAATGAATGCTAAATTGATATTCACAAGCAGTCATCAGTGAGACCAAGGGGTGCACCGATCACAGGCCTCATACCAAGTTTCATTTGCAGAGGCGAGCAGGCATGCAGACCGGGCAAACATGTGTGCTATGGGAAGCAACTACAAAGTCTTGCACAAAACCTCCTTTATCCTGTTAAGAGAGTGATGGCTTCATTTTATATCAGAGTTTGTCAAAGCAAAAGCAAAGCCGTATTATCTTTGGTCCTGCTGCCTTCACCTCCTGCTAGGAAAACCTGCTCTAAAATGGATTTTACAGGCAAAAAGCATCAAAATATAGACTAGCAAAATGTTTGAAGCAAAGTGAATATATGAATAAGATAGAGCACCATTCATATCCACACTGATTAAAACGGTCACCTGTTAAAGGGAACATGTTTATGTATCAACTTTTCTGAGCTTGTCATAATGGCTTTCCCTCTTCAATATCTTACTCAAAGCTGGATTTTGATTGATTCATACATGTTTGAGTAATCATGTCCTATATTTTCGGCTTGAGTGATCAGAAAATCCCATGTCAGGTATGTTGTGTCAGCCGTTTTAGCAGTGGTGACAGGAGTATAGAGGTGGGCCGGACCCTGTTGTCTCACTCTCTCATGTGATTGTGTATGAATGGAGTCATTACACATGCCCAGTGTGTCTCTAATGAGAAGTTTAATGAGAGTCTCTCCATAGAGCAGGACCAGGCCGAGCCCTCAGATGGATTATAAAATCTTCCATTTCCTCTCGCAGTGTGGGGCGGGTTTCATTATTGCACAGCACGGGCGCACACAGAATCCTCTATTATCCTCCGCTCCACAGCTGTGTCTCAGAGTTGTCACAACACAGCCGAGATGGGAGCAAAACACATTACATATTAATCATTGGATGTACTGTACTACATAATGCATTGATAAAAGCACAGAATATTTTAAAGATCAGTTTCACAAAAAGCTATATTAGCTACCGTGGGTCATCAAACTGATACATAGTTCCCATTTGTTGAACTTGGTCTGATTTAGTTTTGTATTAAACTTACTTTTCTGATGTAGACTTGGTTTGGTTCTGTTATAGTCCATGTTTAGTTCTGGGTTTAGTCTAGTTTTGAAGTGATGTGGGTGCTGTGTGAACATCCTGTGTCTTGTTTTTATGTGTTTGGTTGTGTCCACTTTTACCATCTAGTTTGTTCTTGGGTTAAGTGTAGACTTAAAGTGAAATTGTTTTTATTGTAGTTGAACAAAACTAAAGTTGAACAAAACAAAGTGTCACTGAATCACATCCTTGACTGTTGCTTCATCAGAAACACTGAGGTAAATTGCTCTTTATATATTCACATGTCTCTGCAAATATAGATTATCAAACATTATATTGGAGTGTGTTCTATTCCTGGTGCACTACGTACCAACAAAGATGGAGGTGATAATTTCTCTGATGATTTGTTGTAAAAAAAACAGTAAGGCCTGCCATCTGTATCATCACAAGTGGGAGGCGGTGTGCAGTGTGGGAGAAAAATAATAGATATTCAGGTCCCTTTGGGTCCCGGACAGAATAAGAAAAGGAGTTGATGTTCTTGTGTTTGCAGAAAAATGTTTGTTCTAGTCCAACTATGTAGTCATGCCATAGATCAAGTCAAATGCCAACACTGTCTTGTTTTTACTGGTAACCTTTAGTACTATTTAAAAAGCTACAAGACATGCATTGGTTAAGGCCAGAAGATGTGAGAGAAATAGAAGGTAAGGATGTGTATCCCAGTACTGAAAAGATACCCTTTTTGCAATATCAATACTTTTTTTTGTTTATTGTTTAAGTCCTTAATAAGAAACGCATACTTAATGGGGCTTCTTCCATCCATTCATGCATAACGCAGTTTCACTTCTCCTATGTACTGCTCCAAAATAGGAAGGTACTAGGAAAAAAAAGTAAGTTACCCACCAAGCATTTCCTAATTTACTAAATACTGGGGTACCATAAATTCCTATTACTTCGACAGTGCCAATCAAGAGCAATAACTAGAATTAGACTGAGATTTGACTATCAGCCTTAAATCTCCAGCACAGGTCGATATGTTGTTTTGGACCTGCTGCCTAAAAAATACACACAAACACTTTAATACAAAGAGATAACTGCACATAACGTAATTACACAGCTCTCTTATAGGTCTGTGGTATAAAAGAACTGTGAGTGAGTGAGTTTGTAGTGAATTTAAAGGACATAATATGAAAAAAGTAAAGATGGGCCCCCACATATTGGCCCAAAAATATCAGTCTAAAAATAATATCAGCCATGGGTTTTTGCGATCTAAAAAAATCAGCATCGAAAAAATTATATTGGTTGCTCTTTACCTAAAACCATAAAAAACTATTTCTGTGAGGACAAATATTAAGTCTTTTATCATTCATTTGTGCTGTGACTGCCCTTTAACTTTCTGACTCAGGACCCCTCAGGAATAAACAATATAAGAAAAAAGTACCCTGCCTATAATGGTTCTTACTTTTGCCATATGTATTTTTGTTGAGTTGCCCTTGTGCATTTGAATGGAAGACAGATTTACCACAAATGGGACACAATTACCCAAAATTAGCCCAAAACGATCCTTCCTAAAGTGACCAGAGAAACATTGCCACTGGCCAAGTCATAGATAAGCAGGCCAAATCTTCAAGCATTATACTAAGAGCTATTAGAGCAGAGCCTCTATACACTGTAACTGCTCTGTGTCTGCGTATCTCCCTGGCACACAGTGAAACCAACCTAGGAGTCAAAGAGGGAATAATTCTTTAATTTGAGCTGGCAGGATTTCCGTGGCCTGTCAAGTCAGCTTTATGAGCCCAGAAGAGATATTCCTGTTTGGGAAAACAAAGCTCTCACAAACCTTAATGCCTGCCTTGGTTCCCCAGACTGTTATTACGATTGGCAAAATAGAGCAGCAGAGCCAGAGGCAGGCACATTTCCACTGCTGTGCTGTGTGTTTGTGTATATAGGCTTAGGAAGGGACTCCTTATTTTTCTCATTATGACCAAGTGAGTGTGTTTTCATTAGGATTCACACAGGTCACAGCAGGGCCATATGCAGATGTTTCCATGTAAAC